GTGGGGAGGGGGTACATGCCTCGGTAAGTAGTTATCAAAGACAAACGCTGCACCCATTGTAATAATACTGTTGTGCAGGGAATTAGAACTAATCAACTACCATGCACAGGTCTACTGAATAGATGGATTAATCAAACGGTGATATTAATGTGCACATATCTATTCAACTGATTTAATCAAATATTCTCTCTTTAGAATGTCTAAATGATTGTATATTATTCATACGTGCATCAAACAACGAGTGACGTAATAACTCTATTATGTTTGGTTGTAATATATTTGAAAATCAAACAGCGTAATGATGGCGTTATCTTTGGTTGTGATATACAGTAGAATCTGTATTAAGCAACCACTCCAGGGAATTTTCGTGACTGACCGCTTAACGAGGGTGGCCTCTTAATAAAATCTCAATATTAGTTAGTGCTGACATCAAGTAAAGTTTACCCTTGGATGTATTGGGAACAAACGTCAATACTTGCATCGGTAAATTTGACCGTCGATAAAACGTGCTTGGAACGAAAATGTTTTGACTCGAATCTTTGATATTACTTTTGTAAATGAGTCATTTTGGACCAATATTGATACTACTATCTACCTTTGAGATGTATATCAACAGCGTAATTGTATTATGTATGGTCGTAAATAACCCATAATACTTCCTAAGGTAATATCACTCAACTTATAACAATACATCCTAGGGCAATATAGCACAATTTATAACTCATAGTAATACCTAGAGTGATATCCCTCAACTAATAACCCAAAATAATACATGGGGACTAATAACCCAAAATAATACCTAGGGTAATATCACTCAATTAATAACACATAATAATACTTAAGGTAATATCACTCAACTAATAACCCAATAATAATACCCAGTAATATCACTCAATTAATAACCCAATAATAATACTTAGGGTAATATCACTCAATTAATAACCCAATAATAATACCCAGGGTAATATCACTCAATTAATAACCCAATAATAATACCTAGGGTGATATCAATCAACTAATAACCCATAATAATACCTAGGGTAATATCAATCAATTAATAATCACCTAGGGTGATATCACAACTAATAACCCATAACAATACCTAGGGTGATATCAATCAACTAATAACCCCATAATAATATCAATTTGTATTTTCAGTTTAATTTTGATTTTAATCTAATTTTTCTTTTCAAGATTAACATTTTTGTTTTTGTTTTTTGGTTTGTTTGTTTGGTTTTTTTTTTTTTTTTTTTTTTTTTTTTGGGGGGGGGGGGGGGGTATATTGTTTTGTAAATGAAGTAATGAATCATAAACGTGAATATTTGTTAAATATTTAAACTATTTTATGCACACGATGACTTCGGCCTAATAACACCCAACTTTTAAAGATACATTATGGGAGATTAGATAAAGAGCTGGCAGTTCTCACTATAATAGTTAAAAACTACACAATGTAAAGGGAATTTGTTAAAAATTTCAGTCATATTGATCCATTCAGAACCAAACATTTAGCGTTTCAATTTTCGTCCTAGCCTCGATCATCATTACTAAAGTCGGTACGATAAAACAAAAACATAGTCTCGAATCTCGATTATTCATTTTATGATTAAATCATGAATGAAAGTTGAGCAGCAAATCGGATCCTAATCAGGTAAATATCGCAGGCTAGTGATGACATCGAGAGTTTATTATGGTCTGGATAAGTTGATTAATGTCTAATTAATAATTTAGATAACATTTCAGGCCTAAAGAAAGACCTGCAATAGGCAGATTTAGCTCTGGCATAATGTATGTTTAATATTGCTTTCCGAATTTGCCCCGGCATTACTTGTTCATGGCCTGGTTTTAATGTTACATGTGGGACTTTATCAATACATAGTTGACAAACAATACACGTGTTATAATTTCCCCGCGGTTTCTCGTATATCAAACATATGATGAGTGTTGTCTTTGTATGTTGAGATCCAATTTACTGTTTGATAATTCCTATAGGAATATTTCAATTTAATAATACTAGTTGATTCTGGACAATACGAAACTTTATCCTATTCAATTTAATAATACTGGCTGATTCTATGTAAAAGATAATACGAAACTTTATCCTAGATACAGGGATATTTCAATATAATAATACTGGTTGATTCTGTGTTCAAAGACCATACGGGACTTTATTGTAGATACAGGAATATTTCAAATTACTAAAACTGGTAGATTCTGTGTGAAAAGACCATACGGGACTTTATCCTAGATACAATAGTCTTAAGGTCTGTAGTACTTTATCGACGAAATATAAACAGAGAAACAGAGAGGGGGGGGGGGGGAGGGAGAGAGAGAGATGGGTTTAACGTCCACTTGACACAAACCAGGTCATTTCGGTACTAATACATAGTTCAACTTTATTTCAATAATTCGCTTGGGCGTAGGTATCTTTATCAGTGGGAGGAAACCGGAGGACCCGGAGGAAACCCACAAGGTTTGACAGGCGACGTACAACCGGGGAATCGAAACCCCACCAGTTGACTCAATGACAGACCTTATGATACAGTGCGCACGTGCTAACAACAATCAACAATCGAAAACAAAATATAGTCCATTTTATGTACTCGTTTGAAAACTTACATTACAAGAACCGAAGTGTTTAAGAACAATAGCTGAACGGTATTACGAATACAGGTCGGCTGGCAAGTTGGCAGGAATGTCAATTTCCTGAACATTCAATATTAAAAAAAGCCTAGAGTCAAATAGCCTACATATTAATATTATTTTAAATGTTAAACTGCTTCAGATGTTATCATACAACTTGACTATGGAAGTGAATAAATGTATTACTGATATGTTCAACATTTATAGTTGGAGTAGGTGTCCAAATGTCAATCAACAATAGGAGGGAGGGAAATATATATATTATAAACTTTCAATTAGGCGAGGAGTCACACGATTATGAGAGAGAGAGAGAGAGAGAGAGAGAGAGAGATTAAACTACTTTATATCCCTATTCCAATAGTTTACTCACACAGCTTATTGTAGTCGTCCGGTGACCAAGTATAAGTTTGGATCGAAACCACAAACCCATACTGTGATCCGAAGTGCACGCGAAGATAAGTCGACCACCAAACCCCGCAATTTGTTATGGGACTGGCTCTATAAAGCACTAAAATCTTTATCGGCCGGGGGGTTGTATGGCCGAATGGTTAGCACGCGCGCGCTGTATCACACGGTCTGTCATTGAGTCAACTGGCGGGGTTTCGATTCCCCGGTTGTACGTGACAAGGAGTAGGTTCGCCTGTCCAACCTCGTGGGGTTTCTCCGGGTCCTCTGGTTTCCTCCCACTGCTAAAGACCCCTACGCGCTAGCGAATTATTGAAATAAAATTAAACCATATGTTAGTCCCGAAATGACCTAGTTTGTGTCGAGTGGATGTTAAACCCCATCTCTCTCTCTCTCTCTCTCTCTCTCTCTCTCGCTTTATCAGCCCCTGCTAATCACGAGCTGCTTACGAGCTGTAGTTTATGTCTAAAACAAATGATTAAATCAAAAAAATGGATAATCGAGACGATGTTTTTTTATCGTACCGACATAAGTAATGATGATCAAGGCTAGGCCTAAAATTCAATCGCTAAATTTTCGGTTCAGTGTGGATCAATTTGACTGAAATTTTCAGCAAATTCCCTTTACATTATCTAGTTTTTAACTATTATAGTGAGAACTGCCAGCTCTTTATCTAATCTCCCATAATGCCCCTTTTAACATAGTATACCAAATGAAAAAAATAACAATATGTCCAGTCATGATATAAAAAGAAATGAGGGCTTAACATCCAACTTTTGGGCAGCGACAAGACAACCAATCCATTTATAGTGTGGACATAGTGGTAACTGCCAGCTCTTTATCTAATGTGTCATAATGTCGGTTATTTAAAAGTATTTATTTGAAAGATATCGTGCAATATAAAGGCATTAATCCGGTCTTAATTAGCCCGGTTGATGCTAAAAAAAATATAGAATTTAAAGTAATTTGTAATATACACAAAGAACTATTATCATATTTTAAATTCTGTACAAATAAATAAAAAAATAAACAAAATTTCAAAATAAAGCAATTACTGATTATTGTAGCGTGTGTAAATCAATGGAAAGTTTTTATTTAATATGGGGAGGGGGGAGGGGTAGCCGAATGGTTACCGTGTGCGCGTTGTATCATACGGTTTCGATTCCCCGGTTGTACGTGACAAGGAGTAAAGTCGCCTGTCCAACCTCGTGGGTTTTCTCTGGGTCCTCCGGTTCCCTGCTACTGCTAAAGACCTAGTTTGTGTCGAGTGGACGTTAAACTCTCTCTCTCCCTCTTCTCTCTCTCTCTTCTCTCTCTCTGCTCTCTCTCTCACACACACTCTCTCTCTCTCTCTCTCTCTCTCTATCTCTCTCTTATTTAATTTGGTCTTTAAACAATTCACACAATGTCGATCAACTCGATAGCGAGTACTGTATGTTTCAAAATGCCTCATACTGTCAAATTGAATTGCGTATATATTATCCCCTAGGAAGCTCACCGAAGATTATTTTATTTCAAACCAATTTATAGCTAAATAAATTGCTGAACCATGAATTTAATTTCAATTATAGAGAGAGAGGGAGAAAAGGGGTTTAACGTCCACTCGACACAAACTAGGTCATTTCGGGACTAACATATGGGTTAATTTTATTTCAATAATCCGCTTGCGCGTAGGGGTCTTTAGCAGTGGGAGGAAACCGGAGGACCCGGAGAAAACCCACGGGGTTGGACAGGCGACCCTACTCCTTGTCACGTACAACCGGAGAATCGAAACCACGCCAGTCGAGTCAATGATAGACCGTATGATACAGCGCAGCGCGCACCTGCTAACCATTCGGCCATCCACCGCGACACCCCCCCCCCCCCCCAATTCCATAGGAAGCCCCCACTGAAGCTTATTTTATTACAAGTCAATGTGTAGCTAAATAAATTTAATTTGAATTGAAACTCACCTTTATTTCTAATCTGTGTTCTTCACTATAATCCGAACCGTTAAACTTTTAAATATGGAATTCCATTCTCCGTATATTTAATAACTAAGATTAAAATCAGGAAGATTTTTAAATCTAATATGCTTAAAAACTGTGGTATATATGCTTAAAAACTGTGATATATACTTAAAAACTGTGGTATATGTGTCGAAACTGTGGTATATATATGCAAAAACTGTGGTATATATGTAGAAACTGTGGTATACGTAGAAAGTGTACCCGTTAACTCTGTATATCACGCCTTATTAAAATATAAATTACTAGCGAGTTAAACTGGCTCAACGATTCCTGTTGAACTGATATGGAACACTACACAACACGAAGGCTGACTTAGTAACACAGTATACATGAGGTATGGAGCTAGTCGACTTTAGTAAGATTCTTATCGATGTGTTGGCACTAAACTCTCAACTTTCAATCAATAATTACTATCAATATACAAGATGTGGTACACATGTAACACGCGGTGTTTAAATCCATTGGACTTTTAAATCTTAAATCGCTATAAATATCCAACTGCTCTAAATCTATATAAATTCACAATTTGTTCAAATTTTAAGGACGTCAAATGTGTATAAAATACTATCACTATACAAGATGCGATACATATGTAACACGCGGCGTTTAAATCCAACTTATTTACTTGAAGGACTTTTAAATCTTAAATCTTTATAAATATCTCAATTCCACTGCTTTAAATCCATATGTTGTACATAAATTCACAAATTTTTCAGATTTGAAGGACGTCAAATATATACATGTATATAGAAATGCTCTATACAAGATGCGATACACATGTAACACGTTGTATAAAGTCCACTTTAGTGTATCTTCGCGTTTTGAAGTATAACTCTAAATCTATATCGATTATATAAGATGTGTTACATATGTATCATACACTTTATTTCAATTAAGGATTTTAAATCTAGACTATTTCTCTCAATATCTTTGTGGTGGTTTCACGCCTGTTTCTACTGTTCTAAATCTATAGGTTGTTACTTTAAATATCTGGCGATTTCACGCGTGTTTCTACTGCTCTATGGGTTATCCGTAAATCCACAATTTGTCCAGATTTTAAGGACTTTAATGTACATAGTGTCAGAAATGATATACTCTACAAAATGCGATACACATTTAACACACGGTGTTTAAGTCTATTTTTCCCCTTTAAGACTTTTAAAATATATAGGCTTTCGCTCTCAATTAAACTTTTCTAAATCTCTATGTTGTCCATAAATCCACAATTTGTTTAGATTTGAAGGACTTCAAATGTATCTGCGACTTCTGAAGAATAACTCCAACCGTCATTTAATTTACTATGCATATGTAATACGCTGTATTTAATAAGTACAATTAATTTCCTTTAAGGACTTTAAACCTACAGGTCTTCTCTGTGAATATCTCATTGTTTAACGTCTGTTTCTACTGGTCTAAATGTATCCGCGATGTTTGATGGATAACGTATATTATATTGTTAGTAAATGATATACCATGCAAGAAGCGATACACGTGTAACACGCTTTATTCGAGACCACTTTATTTCAGTTAAGGAATTTAAATATATCCGCGATTGTTTGAAGAGTAACTCCAAATGTATACTAAGTTATTAATGTTCTATATGACAGGCGATGTTATTAATCAATGTTCTATACAACATACGATTAAACCACTGTATTTACTTTTAGGTCTTATTTTTCGCTTTAAATATCTGATGGTTTCACGCCCGCTACTACTGCTCTGAATCAACAGGTTTTCGCTCTGTGTATCTGGCTGTGTAGAATCCGTTTCCAATGCTCTAAATAGATAAGTTCGCTCATAAATCCACGATTTCTCAAGATAAACTCTAAATGTATAACAAAGAGTAAGGGTGGATTAAATCCAGGGTTTTATTTTCAGTTAGATAGTAACCGTGTTCAATCGTCTTTACTACACTTGGATCTGTAAGAGTTGTTATTTAACTCGTGTTCTGAATGGTGTCAGGGATAAGCCAATGAAACGGTCTGTTACGGCGAGCTTTAGGCGTGTTTTTCACGGAACTGTGGGTAATCCCCTAGTAACATCAATGCTGATTGGTTAATCAAATGTCTGACGTCATAGGTTCATAAGTCGGTCTTTTGACCCCTGACGTGACCTATCGCTATAACTTGTCAGATCTTCATGTAGTGTAGACCATCGAAAGTATAAAAAAAAAACGAAACGAAATATAGATCTGTATTTTAATCAAATAGTAACCGTGTTGTGTTGTAAGATACAGGTTCTCCTTCCTTCCAGTTCACTTCCAGTTCACTTAATTCCTGAAGTAGATCTAAAACAACGGGATGTCTTTAAATCATCGATTTTTCCACATTTATTCCAAATGTATATAGATTAAATCCAGTTTATTTCCAATAGATTAAATCCAAGTCCTATCCAATAAGGGAGATGTGTTTAGATCAAGAAGGTCTAAATCTATGGGTGGTGCGTAGATCCGCAATTTTCCTATTGTCTAGCTTTTAAGATTTTATTACTTACTTTTAAATGTTTAAATAATTTAGCTCCTGTTTACCTCTCAGATCTTTTAGAACTTTATACACCTGGCCGAACATTACCTACATCAGATAAACTACTTTTAAAGCCCAAAACTGTTCAACTAGTCTCTTATGGTCAGCGCTCTTTTAGTTATCAAGCACCTGTTTTATGGAATAATCTACCATTTAGTTTAAGATGCTGTAGATCTCTATATTCTTTTAAAAAACAACTTAAAACACATTTATTTAATCCGACTTTTAACCGACTCTGTATACAATCGTTAACATGTCCATAATCTTGTTGTTTATGTATGATTTACATTGTCACTCTGTATATGAAAGGGTGCACTATAAATATGCTGTAATAATAATAATAATAATAATAATAAATGTATAGATCCAATCTAGTATATTTCAAATAAGGGGTAGGTGTTCAGTTCAATTATCTCCAGAAGATGTAAAACTATGGGCGCTGCTTAGATCAGAGATTTTCCAAGATTTAATGTTATTGTGTAGATCTAAAACAAAGTGACGTCTTTAAATCAGAAATGTTTCCAAATTCACTCCAAATGTATAGATTAACCTCCAATATGTGGTATGTGTTCAGTTCACTAATTCCATGAAGAAGATGTAAAACTATGGGTGGTGCTTAGATCCGCGATTTTCCAAGATTTAACCCTAATATATAGATTGTAATGATTTCAGTATTTACATAGTATTTATCTCCAGTAATGGACACATCTGTGTTTCTTTTATTTATTTCTAGAAGAAGTTCTAAATCTATGGGCTATCCCTTGATACGGAATTTTACCAGATTTAATCCTAATGTCTAGATTGTAATAGTGGATTAACTATAAGAGTGGTTTCAGTACTTAAATATATACTTTATATCCAGGAATAGACAGATCTTCGTTTCTTTTACTTATTTCTAGAAGACGCTGGAAATTACTTATATTAGCGATGTTTCGAGGGTAACTCCTAATGTATAGTCTGTATGTTCCAGAAGAGACTCTAATTCTATGGGTTGCACTAATATTAGCGATGTTTCGAGAGTAACTCCAAATGTATAGTCTGTATTTTCCAGAAGAGACTCTAATTCAATGGGTTGTACTTATATTAGCGATGTTTCAGTAGTAACTCCAAATATATAGACTGTATTTTCCAGAAGAGACTCTAATTCTATGGGTTGTACTTAAATTAGCGATGTTTCGAGAGTAACTCCAAATGTATAGACTGTATTTTCCAGAAGAGACTCTAATTCTATGGGTTGCACTTAAATTAGCGATGTTTCGAGAGTAACTCCAAATGTATAGACTGTATTTTCCAGAAGAGACTCTAATTCTATGGGTTATTATATTATCGATGTTTCATTAGTACGTACAAATGTACTTGATCACAGATGGGTTGACCAACAATAAGAATCAAATGTCTTTTTAAATCAACCAATTACATACTGGATGAAGTGATGTCAAATATCTGGATTGTGTTAACAACCATTAGATATTTCCACTGAAAACAATCAGGGTGTCTTTAATTCCTATAAAACTTTAGTACTTGAATTTAGACTCAACACATATACAGGATATCCTAAAATAATATGAAACTTCTGTACTTGAATTTAGACTCCAACACATACACAGGTCTTAAATTAACTTAAAACGTCTGTAATTGAATTTAGACTCAACACATACACATGTCCTAAAATAACATAAATCTTTTGTACATAAATTTAATAAAATGCTTGTCCGTACCAATCAATCCAAAAGCTTTATTTTCTGTAGCAGTAAATCCAATAAAAAATCTGTCCGTACCGATAAATTCAATAACGTTGTCCCTAGAGTGATTCCAAATGTATATTAACTAAAAACAGTAATTATTTCGTTTAAAGTCAATAGATATTCCCGGGAGTGGCTTTAATCGCTTGATATGTTTGTATATTGTCAAATGTATCAGTTATGCTTTTGTTCCATAAACTAATGCAAGTATTGAACTATAAATCGGTTCACCAAATGTATCAGTTCTGCTTTCGTTCCATAAACTAATGCAGGTATTGAACTTAATATAAGTTCACCAAGAACGAACACGTACTTCATCAATAAAAACCCAAAGTTATACAAACCAAATCACACAGAAAACCATCATGAAATATACATGTATATCTGTCGATCAACATTCACACATGCTATATAAAGAGTAAAAACCACCTGTTTATCATGTAGGCTATAGCTCTTGTATATAGATATAAAGTGTGGTATATCACTTAGATATGGAATATACCAATATCGCATAGTGAACAGAGAAATGAAATGAAATGAAAGAAATGAAATGGGGTTTAACGTCCTACTGTTTTGCTCCGAACTTGGTTAATGAAGACTGGCCAACGCCATAAAGTGTGTTCTGAGGGAAATTTTGCCCGGACAGTGGCACTACGGCCTACTCTTATATCGAATTCCAAATGTCAAGGGATCTTTTACGTGCACGCCAATGTGTACATGGGACCTCGGTTTTTCGTCTCATCCGAATGACTAGACAGCTGTCCTTGTCAGGCCCTCCGTCCTGCATCACTGACAAGGGGGAACCACGCCGGAAAATCTGGATGAACTTTCTCGGCCAATGCAGGGATCGAACACCCGACCTCCAGACTTGGTAAACAGAGCCACGGCGGCTCAGTGAATAAGGCACAGGATCATGTGTACGATCCTGGTGTTGATCGAGAAAGTTCCCTTGTTTAAAATGTAGACTAACTGTGTTTCATGGTTACTGCTAAATGATAAGGCCAGCTTAATTTTTCGTCATAAGTCACGTGATGTAAACAGGGTTAGCGCTAATCCCAACCCTAACCCTAACC